TGAGTTGTTTCAAACCATGTTTGGGTCAAATATGGACAAATCCAAAGGTTGGGTTTAAAAATGTAATTTAAATATTTAGACCAAGGGTTGGGTTGAAAAATGTAGGCTAATTTAAATATTTAAAACAAACGGTTGGGTTTAATATTTTAATTTTAATATTCATGAGTTTGTCCATATTTGACCCAACCATGGGTTAAAAAAACAGCTTTTTAGAGTGTAATATCATGATTGCCTACCTTTTGGTACTTTTGTGTCTGTGTTTCAATTTATTATATGATATTATATGAATGATTACCATATGTACTGATTCACACCGCAATTACAGGTAAATTTCACTAATTATTACAAAGATACGACAGTAACACAACACGAATTAAACGTGACATATAGAAGTACAGACTAAAATAGCCTACTACTTTCTTGTAAAACCTACTCCAATAACAAACCATTGTTTTATTTTTGAACTTTTTACACTATATCAAGCTGTTTTCGTGCAGTGCCGATGTACATTAAGAAATACCATGGTATTTTGTCTTACCTGGCCTCACATCGCACCGGTAACAAGTGGATTCCGTGTCCGTTATGTGTGTTTTTGAGTTGTTCTCCACTCTTATCATTCCTGCGAACATCATGTTGGTTTAAACCCGGTAAATCCACTGCAATAGTTGCGATAAGTTAAACTCCAAACGCCGCGCGCGCGCGTGTCATCCTCCGATGCGCGGCGCGTGCGCTTTTGCGCGTGAACCCGACGCCGTTCACTTTCCCACAGAAATACGAAACTTTACTTCACACTTCCAACATAATAATAGTCCGCAAACAGCAGGGTTGTCAAATATGAAATCGTAATCGATGCTTGAAGAAAAACAGATCCACAAAAAAATGGCGAGTTTCCTGTGAGAGGAAAACGCCGAAGGGAAGCCTGAAGAAAGTTCGCGTTTGTGTCCCTCGGTTTAATACGTATCAAATAACTCAAGGTTCTTTATTTTATTTCCCTTTTCCGTGTGAAAAACAGAGCCACGGCACATGGTTGTCAACAAGTAGACGAGAGCCGGATAACAGCCGCACTTTGTGCCGTTATGTGGCGGGTGAAGGAGTTTCAGTGACGTCAGCTGGAATTTGACTCCTCTGATTCACACTAAAGCAAAACTCCCATCAACTACATGAACTGGACGGGCGTCAAATGCCTGAATGCCATTACAAAACATCAAACAGGCATTTATTACATTTACATTTATACAAAACAAAACATTTCACAAAACAGAAGTGTGAAGAAACAATATAAAATGATCTGAAATGCACCTGATCCTCTGACATGTGAACTTGACTAAAAAAACACCAAAACATCAGCTGATTCAAAAACATGCTGAAGAAACATGAAGTTAGTGAAGAGAAAAGATCCTGCAGATACTTGATTTGATATTTTATCAGTGACTTTCACGCACTGTAAAACATTTGTGTAAAATCCTGCTATTGGTTAACTGAAACTGTACAACATTTAGATTTAACAGGACAATAAATGTCAAATCTATGCTATATATATTCAACAAGACAATACCTACTAGAATATTGTTTGTCAAAAGACATTTCCAGAAAGTCCCTGCAGTATTATTATTATTTTTGTTGTCAGTAGGCCTATACATACTCAAAGCAGATTTTAATAGTTAAGAGACATTTCCAGAAAGTCCCTGTATTATTATTATGTTGGTTGTCAGTAGGCCTATACATTCTCAAAGCAGATTTTAATAGTTAAGCTGTGTTTAACTGGGTTGAACATGTTCTGTGACCGCTTGCTTTTGTCTATAGGTTCTCTTAAAGGGATAGTTCATCCAAAAATAAAAATTCTGTCATTATTTACTCACCAAGTTGTTCTAAAACTTTTAGGTAATTCAATAATCAAACGTAAAATAACATTGCATATTTTAATTTATATTATATAAAATAAATAATCTGTGTTAAAGCTATACAAAATGTATTAAGTCAAGATCAGTGAGTGATTTTTCTCTTTTGTTCTTTGATTGACTCACAGACATGCAGCAGGTAGGCCATTTTAGGCTACTGTCACTTTAGTAAATGTACCAATATATAATTTACAATATATTACAAGGAATAATAAGCCATCTGATCTGTTTCCCAGGCGTAATGCGTACACACAGAGTGCTCCTGTTGTGTGTCTGTCTCTCTCTCAGCTGAACTGGGCTCTGTTTGTCTCGGTCAGATGAACAGAGCCGCTCTTTGTGTTGTGCTGTATAGACGCTGGAAAGACTCATCTGAGGCCTGTGCTTGTCTCATAATGGTTTAATTGAGCTAAACCCATCAGAGTGTCAGAATCAAAGTCTCTTACAGAAGCAGCTAAATCAAATTAACATGCGATCTTGTGACTTTAAGTCCCAATGTGAACCACTGAACCAGCAAACGACGGCTCTTCTGTGGTCAATAAGTGATGTACTGTATGTCAAGGAGAATATCTTACATTTTCCAGACTACAATAAACACTAAACACACAGTCAGAATAAGATTTTGAGGTGCAACCGTGCAAGATAAAGGATTTTCATGATATTCACCTTTGACTTTTGCTGACACATGAAAGTCAAAGTACACTAAAAATATTTTATTCTTTATAATGACTATTTTGCACATTTTATAACTTTTTTTTGTCATAGAAACTATGAAATATGGTATAGGCATGCCGTATATGAACAACACATCTAAAAGGGAACAAAACATTATTTATATATCATTCATGGAACATTATTTTTCTGAAATGATTATTAATCTAACATTTGTTCAGAGAACCTTCAAAAATTATTTCATTTTTTGTGCAAAATTCTAAAATGAAATGTTCCCTTGCATAACCAAGATTTATTTATTTTTTAAACTGGACGTTTTGAATGTTCAAAGAACATTCAGAAATAGCATTTTCATAACTTAATAAGAAAGTTAGTGAAACATTGTTATTGGATCATGTTTGTTTTAGTGACCAAAATGTAAAACTATTTTATATTTACATTGTCTATATTCCAGCTCCAGGACTGCTTATTTCTGCAAATCATCTTGGCTTGAGAATAACCATGTATTTTTTATATTTACTTTGATATTTGCATCCCTTCATTTCTTCTGAAGTCGTAGCCGTTCCTGCAATCACTGGATGTAGCCCCTATGTGTCAGTATTGTACAACTTCATAAAGCAAGAGCTCTCATGTGGGAGTTGTGTCGAAATGTTCAGAGAGAAAACACTAAAGCCTGAGAGAATACTATAGTGATGTAAACAGCTGAATTATTTTTTTATTCATTAATGTCCATTCATTTCAGGGGTTCAATTTGGGAATCAATTTGTGTCCTCAATATCAAACTAACATTTTAGTAGGAAAACAAAGTTTGTTTCTTGAGTTAAAATTAGAGCCGTGACTGACGTCGAATCAATTAATTGCGATTAATCGCACCTAACATAAAAGTTTGTGTTTATATATTATATGTGCATGTGTGTGTGTGTGTGTGTGTGTGTGTGTGTGTGTATGCATATATATATATACACTCACCTAAAGGATTATTAGGAACACCATACTAATACTGTGTTTGACACCCTTTCGCCTTCAGAACTGTCTTAATTCTTCGTGACATTGATTCAACAAGGTGCTGAAAGCATTCTTTACAAATGTTGGCCCATATTGATAGGATAGCATCTTGCAGTTGATGGAGATTTGAGGGATCCACATCCAGGGCACGAAGCTCCCGTTCCACCACATCCCAAAGATGCTCTATTGGGTTGAGATCCGGGGTGCTTCTCAATATCCCTCCTCGTCTCCTCGCTCCTCCGTCCTCCATCCTATGACCAGGAAACCGATCGAGCTCAGCCATCTTGAAGGACATCTCAATTCTCTAATTGCACCGCGAGGAGGCGAGGATCGAGGAGTGAGGAGGCTTCCAAAGGAGCTATGAGCGAGGATACACAGGTGTACCCTTTGCGGAAGAGTTTTATCGACTAAACATGACGCACGTATCAATTCTCCTCCCCCTTCACATCTGTCACAATCATTTGAATTTATACTTTACTTTTGTAGCACACATAAACCACACAACTCACATATTTCAACAAGGTATCTTGCTTTATTATTATTTATTATTAATTTCTTAAATAAACAAACTTTAACAACATAAGGGCAGATCCTTTGAGCGCTGCTGATGACGCAGTGAAGTGACGTTCGAGTGATCAAGTATTCCAATGTATAAAAAAGCTTTCATTCAATTCCTCCGTCCTCATATTTTTTCCTTGCAGCCTTCCCTCGCGTCCTACAGGGGGTGGAGCTGAGACGCGAGGAAAGGAAGCGAGGAAAGGAAACGAGGATGCACAAATAAGAAATGAGAAGCACCCCTGGTGACTGTGGGGGCCATTTTAGTACAGTGAACTCATCGTCATGTTCAAGAAACCAATTTGAAATGATTCGAGCTTTGTGACATGGTGCATTATCCTGCTGGAAGTAGCCATCAGAGGATGGGTACATGGTGGCCATAAAGGGATGGACATGGTCAGAAACAATGCTCAGGTAGGCCGTGGCATTTAAACGATGCCCAATTGGCACTAAGGGGCCTAAAGTGTGCCAAGAAAACATCCCCCACACCATTACACCACCACCACCAGCCTGCACAGTGGTAACAAGGCATGATGGATCCATGTTCTCATTCTGTTTACGCCAAATTCTGACTCTACCATCTGAATGTCTCCACAGAAATCGAGACTCATCAGACCAGGCAACATTTTTCCAGTCTTCAACTGTCCAATTTTGGTGAGTTCTTGCAAATTGTAGCCTCTTTTTCCTATTTGTAGTGGAGATGAGTGGTACCCGGTGGGGTCTTCTGCTGTTGTAGCCCATCCGCCTCAAGGTTGTGCGTGTTGTGGCTTCACAAATGCTTTGCTGCATACCTCGGTTGTAACGAGTGGTTATTTCAGTCAAAGTTGCTCTTCTATCAGCTTGAATCAGTCGGCCCATTCTCCTCTGACCTCTAGCATCAACAAGGCATTTTCGCCCACAGGACTGCCGCATACTGGATGCTTTTCCCTTTTCACACCATTCTTTGTAAACCCTAGAAATGGTTGTGCGTGAAAATCCCAGTAACTGAGCAGATTGTGAAATACAGACCGGCCCGTCTGGCACCAACAACCATGCCACGCTCAAAATTGCTTAAATCACCTTTCTTTCCCATTCTGACATTCAGTTTGGAGTTCAGGAGATTGTCTTGACCAGGACCACACCCCTAAATGCATTGAAGCAACTGATTAGATAATTGCATTAATGAGAAATTGAACAGGTGTTTCTAATAATACTTTAGGTGAGTGTATATATATATATATATATATATAGACACCCAGATGTTTGTGTGTATATACACACATTATATAAACAAACTTTTATGTGAGATGCGATTCATCGATTTGACAGCTCTAGTAAAAATCAATGAATACAAAAAACCTAAGTGCAGTTTGAGGAATAAATAACTAACCTCTTATAAAATGGTCACCCTGATGTGATCAGTTAAGATATGGCTAAACATGAGGGTTGAGTTTGTACGAAAAACAAGTTTTATTGACAACCGTGATAAACATGTTTATAACTGTCAGGTTGAAATGAAGGAACAACAGATAATTATCTTGCAAGCAATATGAAAGATGACAGCTCAAAATTGAGGAACAAGGCATGATAACAACATGCAACCATTGAAACAAATACAGATTGACAGAGAGAGATACGAGTCCTTAAACTAAAAACACTCTCACAATATGCCCAGTCTATAGTGCAACATGCACATCCATCTCATCGCATCTCGATATCTCACGGCATTGCGTCATCCGGGTCCAAGTGCGCCGCCCTGCTGGAGAAGACGTCGGCTAGCATGTGCTTGGGAATCTCCGAGCCGCGCACGCGCAGGGTGTAGCACGCGTCCTCCACCTTTCCCAGGCTCTGCCGAAGCGTGTGCAGTTTCTTGGACACCTCGTAGGGCCCCGTGTTCCCGATGAAGGAGAAGCCGTCGTGGATTTCCCTCAGGAATCCGCTGAGGAGGAACGGCGTGTCCATGTCTCCGTTGCCCACACTGCTGATGCACATGCGCATCAGCTCGCCCGTCAGGTCCGCGACGCCCAGCAGGTAATCGGTCGGCGTTATCTGGAAGGTCAGAACGCACGGACCGGGACACGTGACCTCATCTACAGCCTTCAGCAAAGAGACGAGGAAACAGTCAATATCTACTGTCAAATATGCCATATCTAGTAAAGTACCAAGAGTACACTCAAACCATAGACAAGACTTAAAGGTTCTGTTGTGGATCCGCGTTCACGAGTCCGCATTGACGCCGCTGACGTAAGACGCTGCTGACTTGTCTCTGGTGCGTCCGTGTATTCGGGTTTAAATAAATATGGCTGGGCAAAAAAATGCAAGTCTTACTCTGTGTGGAAATCCTTAGACACGTTTATAAAAGCTACTTAAATGCCTAATCCTGGCTTAATCTAAGCCCCGTCTGTGAAACCAGGCCAAAAAGATATATGAATTGAATTGCATATACAATATTTCCATCCAATTGGATTACATAATCCATAACATAACTTTTAAACTAATACATTTAATGTGATGCATATTTGTCAATCATACATCAATTAAACGGATAAGATTTCTGAAGTTGTGCTAATAAACTGAATGTTTTAAATACACAATAACCAGGTTTTATATAATCAATAAATCCAATTTGTTTTAACCAATAAATCCAATTTGTGTTAATCCCATACATTTTAACTAACTAAATATTGCTTGATCCATAGCTATTCATATATTAACCATATTAATGCTTTTTTAACTGAATAAATCTAGTTGTTTTTACAATGAACAGATTTATGCTGATTTGAAACATATTTAAATGTGTTTTGAAAATACGATTATTTATTAATAATAAACTATGCCATGATTTTAGTGATTTTAGTGCAGAAATCTGACCTGTTTTATTTAGGCATGACTGACAAATATGCATAACATTTTGTGCATTAGTTTATGTTAAAACTGTGTTTTAATTTGATATGCAAATACATCAAAAACATTTTAAATTTAGGCCTAAATATGTTTTGAGTGCTATAAATGCACAGGCCACATATTTTCCCTCAAACTAAACCAATGCATCTAAAAATATCTCCGCGAATGGTTTACAGAGACGTGCAAAGCAAGCAGCACTCATGGCTTTCTAAAAATAACAGCAGAAGATGGAGTGATTGTCCTGATCTGATAAACCTGCTGAATGTGCTCTTGAGAACGTAGCCCGTCTATTTGTGCAAGACAACATTAAGGAGGTCATGTTTATATAAGGAAAGATGCGTAAAAGTGTTTCAGGTTGACTTTAGGATGCAATATCATGCCTTGTTTTCCCTCATGAAGACCAGCCGGGCGTTGATCTCCTCCAGGCTGATCAGTGTGCGATGTCGGATGAAGTGATGGAAGGACACGGCCTCCACATACTCCTGAATCCCTGAGAACACAGAAAACAACTTCATTACTACAGTCCTTCAACTCAAAGCTTTCATTTGATCATTTCACAACACATATTTCATTTCATTACGCTTCAAAAAGCCCTGACCAAACATCTCGTACCTCACAGTCTAGTAAATCTCTATGTATCTTCTACATTTTATTTCATAATCTTAAATAAGTACAGCAATTTGGTGTCTTTTTTGTTTTGTTTTTGAAAGAAGTCTCTTGTGCTCACCAGGGCTGCATTTATTTGATCCAAAATCTAAAATTTTGAAATATTACAATTTAAAACAGCTGAATTTATAGAAAGTGTAATTTATTCCTGTGATCAATGCTGAATTTTCAGCATCATTACTCCAGTCTTCAGTGTCACATGATCCTTCAGAAATCACTCTTATGTGAGGATTTGATGATCAAGAAACATTTCTGATTTATTATCAATGTTATATTTGTGTAGAAATTGTGATTTTTTTTACGCATTCTTTGATGCATAGAGTTTAAAAGAACAATAATTAGTTGAAAGCGTCTTAATTGTTCATTTTAATGTATCCTTGCTAAATAAAAGTTTTAGTTTCTCTGGTTTTTGCTGAAGCTCAAACGTGCTGCGAAACATGGGAATGAACACGTCAAGCGAACATGCTTGAGCTTCCGTTTGCCACCTCTGATGTGAGTTGATGAATGTTTATATGTGAAAAAAAGCTTCAATTAAACCTGTTCATCATATAAAGCGATCGAGCCTCTTCAGAAGATTCGGACTGAACCGCTCAATTCATCTGGATTAGTTTTACGATCTCTTTATGAACTTTATGAAGCGTCAGTGTCAGTAGCTGTCAAGATTTCATCCAAAAGATCTTCATTTGTGTTCCAAAGACGAACAAAAGTCTTAAAGGTGCAGTGTGTAGATTTTAGCGGCATCTAGCGGTTCGGTTGCGAGTTGCACTAATGGCTCCGCCCACTGCTCACCCCTCCCTTTCGAAGAAGCTACGGTGGCTCAAACGGGACAAACATCGTCGTCTGAGACAGCAGAGAATAGCCAGAGTAAGCCAAGAGTGTGTAACATTGTCCCTGTTTCTGTCCCACAGTCCATTATAAACCACATCATGGATAAAGTTTACAAAGCCATAGTCAGGTGAGGATCAAGGGTCTTAATATATAATATAATAATAGTAATCAGCTGATTGTCTCACGAACGTAACCAGCACATTTCTCCCCACATAGCAAACCCATAATACAGCGAGGGAGAAGAACCACATGAAACTATCCAACTACATATTTTTTCTAACAGGGTAGTAAAAGTTTAGCTGGCTAATATGAGCTGTTACTGTGGCTGAGCTAAAGTGTAAAGCCTTGTTTAAACTCGACACGTCCATGAGCAAAAATGACATGATTGTAACAGCGCGCGCGCCTCCGCATCCCCTAGACACCATTTACTACACACAAATTAATAAATAATAATGAATAAAAATATTGTTTTTTTTCTCTGGTTTTCAAAACTCTTCGCGATCGACTTAAAATGCTTTCAAGATGGACTGGTCGACCGCGATCGACGGGTTGGTGATTCCTGTAACGTTACTGTTTTACGGTCAATAGTACTAATCAGCTGATTGTCAAAGCCATAACACAGCGAGGGAGAAGAACTAAGTTACATGAAACAATCCAGCTACATATTTTACACCACTGACAAGGGAAAAGTCACTACTCACGGTGTCTATGGCTAGCTTCTAGCTTTCTGCGGCTTCTCTTTTAAGGTAGTGTCGAAACGCGCTCTGTAGCGCTGTGTGTTCGCTGTCGGCTACGGTAGAAACATGACGTCACAATATGTCGACCTTCATAGAAGGGGGTTCCCGCGGTTATGTAGATATAAATGCCTCATTCTAAGGTAATAAAAACATAACGGTTCATTGAGTAAGGTCTTTATACACCACTGAACACATAGTTTCTGTCAATAGATCCTCAGAAATATTACACATTGCACCTTTAAAGGTTTGGAACAACATGAGGGTGAATAATAAATGATAGAATTTAAATTTATGGGTGAACTATCCCTTTAAGACACTGTTTGTATAGCTTCTCCAACTAAGGGCTGTTCACACTGAACTGCGCTACTCCTCCATTGTTTTTCAATGTAAACACGTTTGACCTGTTTGGCGTTTTTCTCTAGACCGTGTGCTTTTATTTCGTTCCACTGACCTGAGTCTCGTTTTTAACAGCAAAACCTGTTCAGTGTGAACCGGCCCTAAGATGTCGTAACGTGAAGTTATTTTCAGGCATTCAAACAGCCTCAGTCAGTAGATGATGTTTAACTGAGCGACTGACCGCTGTATTTGTGTCCAGATCTTGTGTAAACACCAGGACAATAATGACAGGACGGAAGACTTTGTGATTAAGCTTTGCTTTCGAAATGGCAATTAACATCAAAGACGTTCTTATCTGTCGCTCCCCGGGCACCGATTTGCATGCAGTGTGACAATGTTCAACATAAAAATGAAAACAAAGTTTCGGCCCAAAACGCACAGTTCTTTATGATGCTGTGCTCGTGAAAGAGAGCCGTGCTCGCGGTTCCCACAAAAGCTGAAACGCTGAAGGTTGTGTTGTCTTCTCTCAGGCTCAGAAGGAAATGAGATAACGTTATCAAGCATGAGATTGGAGACTCCCTCTGCAAGACATTTCTTTGGAGGTTAATTTGACAGAACTGTCACCTTACTGGATGTAAACACACTGAGGCTAACGTCAAAATCACTAACTAGAGCAAGACTTAAAGTTGCAACACCTGTTCATCTATTCCAATCTCAAACGTAGGGGTTTTCTGACTCCTGGGTATTATTATAATCAGGGCTTGACATTAACACCCGCCAACCCGCCAAATGCGGGTGGATTTTGCTCGTGGCGGGTAACACAGTCACTTCAACTAGCCACTTTGGCGGGTTGAATAATTGTAGTCTTTTCAAAAGGCATCTGAAGCGCACTGGCTGCGTGGCGTGCGCGTCTCAGCTGCGTGGTGTGTCCGTTTTTATTTCGGCTCCCATGTTAACAGGTTAGAACTTGCACACTGCCTGCGTGACGCGCGTCTCGAGCCGCGCCGAAAACGCGTGCATGCTAGAAAAAAAACCGACGCCTATTTCTCACGCGACACGCAAGCCTGTTGGAAGCGTTTCCAGGCTAAATAGAATAGGAAAATATGTCATGTTGACACGAACACATATTAATAAATGGCATTTTTATGTTTGAAAGTCCATAGGTTTTGGCAAATGCAGATATAATTTTAAAAAAATCAAATATTGCACTTGTCAATACAGAACGAAATATTCTTATAGCCTATTTTGCCGTCTATGCTGCAACGCCCGAATCCCGAGATAGCCCTCCATGTACCTTACCAGCAGACACCAGTCAGACACGTTTCTGCTGTGCAAAGACACAGAAAACGCAACTTGTAACAACGAATTTCCCATCGGGGCTCAATAAAGTAATTCTGATTCTGATATTTAAACAGACAGTGTTTCTAATGCTAAAGGTTTTTTCAGTTTAGTTTTTTATATTTTTTTATTAATCTTCTACATCCATGCACCACTTTTATTATGCAATAAGAAGCTATGTCTTCATCTTAATACATGGTTTTATAGGAGCTTTAAAGGAGCTTTACACACAACCTTATCAGAGCTAATGATAATGACCATTGTTATACCTAGTCTTGATTTGCGTGTGTACAGTGGTTTTACATTTAAAAGGGTTGTAAATCTAGTTCAAGTAAATTTTAGCACGCCATAGTCAACTTTAATCAGATAATTTCACAACAACAAAAATGTGGCGAGTAAAAATGCTGTGTGGCTAGTAACTTTGGAAAACCACTAGCCACATTGGCTAGTGAGCAAAAAAGTTAATGTCAAGCCCTGATTATAATTAATATTATACATAAATATATACAGGTGAAACTAAAAAAATTAGAATATCGTGCAAAAGTTTCAGGATTTATTTCAGTAATTCAACTTAAAGGGATAGTTCACCCAAAAATGTAAACTCTGTCAGTAATTACTCACCCTCATGTTGTTCAACCCCGTAAGACTTTCGTTCAAATTCGGAACACAAATTAAGATATTTTTGATTAAATCTGAGAGCTGGATCACTCCTCCATAGGCTTCTTAAAGGGGTCATATAATGGTACATGCACTTTTACAAGTTGATTGTACTGAAATGTGTGTTGGCAGTGCCTGTACACAACCATCATATAATGATAAAAATCCATCCAGTGGTTTTGTTTTAATCTCCTTATATATTTTCCCCTGCCTCAAATCGAGCCGTTCGAGCCTGTGACGTCACAAGCTCGCACGCCCCTCCCACGATTGTTGATTGACAGAAGGGTTTCAACACAGACCCGCCCTCGCTCGTGAGAGCTGTCAATCATAGTCTGCGCGGACCGGCGCGGTCATTGTTGATATGCTGGAGCACTGTCTATGAGCAGAATGGCGTCTAAGCGATTGTGGTGTTCTGTTCTTGGGTGTAATAACGAACACAGTCATTTTAATGTTCCCAAATCCGAACCGCTGAAGACGCAGTGGCTGAGTTTGTTTTCGAAGGGAATATTCCCCACGAGCAACGTCAATGCTCTCATGTTTGCGCGAATCATTTCACACCAGACTGCTTTATAAACGAGGGTCAGTATAAAGCTGGTTTTGCTAAGAAGCTGCTCCTGGACCGGTACCAACTATTCGTGTTCCTGCTGAACCTCCAAAATAACTGAAGTGAGTGTAACGTTTTATTAATCTTTAATATTTATATTAATCTTTGCAAATCGCTAGATGCACGCTTCACAATGAATGCGTCTAAGGTTTACACTCAGGGTACATTACGGCATATTTTCTATGTACGACGTTCTCAATATAATTCATAATCCCACGTCTATAATGAACAACGCGTTATGGTTATTGTGTTACAAACGGTGCACACAGAACAGAGGGGCGGGGTGAGCAAAGCTCATTATCATTTAAAGTCATATGCACTGAA